ATATTTACTTGTTCAGTTCCTGAAAGCTGTTTTTGTTTTTGAAACCTTAAAAAAAAACAATTGTGTCTGTTTCAGCTGTTAAGTAAAATGTTTACCATTTTGTTTCAATAAATTCACCGTTGTTTTTTTTTTTCAAAAACAATGGTGAGAATGTGTTTACTTGTGGCTTCCCACATGTCGACATAAATTCATTGAAGCTCATTCATAAAAAAGTAAATGATCAACATTTATTGCATCCTTTCATAAATGTCAGTAAATAAATTTACTGACAAATCAAGCAAAAGTAAATTTGTTTGCTATTAATAGAAATCCACATACTATGTTTCATATATTGGACCCAACTGTATAAACTAAATGAAGCTAGAAAAATACTTGCGGTTACAGCTTCAGATAGCGCATTATTTCCGTTATCTTTATCGACTTCAAACCGAAAAGTGTCTACAGTTATTTTCACTTGACTGTACATAAAGTTTGTTCCACGCGAGCCCGCGGGATCCCGCGGGTTCCTCACGCTACAAAAATGGGTAATAGAGAGAGCGAATACGTTCCAATTTTGGATCGTAAATGTCTTCTTCTTCGTGCCCGAAAGAGCCCGGACTTTTTTTTCAAATTGCCATAACAGCTGTCGTTTGTTTAAATCCGAAAGCAAATTTTAGCTCTGATCCAGTACTCCATGAACCTACAGGTTTTTATACGAACTTGCAGGAAGTTACAGGAAAAATGATCCCGTACTCCAAATTCCTCAAATTCCTCCAAAATCCTTGGAGAGTTGTGAAGAAGATAATTCCATCTGCTGCTGATTTTGCGACTGTTCGCGGGGATATATATATGTATGTAGCTGTGCATAGTGTACCGCTAGCTGCAAAAAATAGCTCCCAATTTCAAATCTCAATTCAGACTGATGCAACCCTCATAAATTTAATGTACAAGTATGAATGAAGCTTTGACATTGAATTGTCAATAGACAATGGCAGGTAATGAGGTATGTAATAATATTTTTGTTATTGTTTTAGAATGTTATGTGACAGCACCAGCCAACTATGCAAATGAGAAGTAGTAAAACATTGTAAATAATGAAATGTTAGGGCATGGCGCCAAAATCAAGTTTTCAATAGCAACATAAGTTAAGTGAATTATTTTCATAAAAATGTATGTTCGTACATTCGCAAATACGCAGCAGTGGTGTTAGGGTAAATTTTTGAATAGTTCAAAGCCAAAAATTGGGAATCGGTCGGACTCTAATCTAAACATCACTACGAGCAGTCATCAGTCTCTTTTACTTCTAAACTATAGCTGATGGAAGTGCCTTATTTACGCAACTAAGTTCCAATTAGGCATTTAACCGTGGTTGCGCATATTGGAAAATTTCATCAATTATAATTTAGAAATAAATGCGTCTGATGCTTTGGCTTGATGCATTACTGAACACACCCTCAATTACGAAAAAGCATCTGTGAAGTGCTAACCATAAAACATATACATACGTACATACATATGTGTGTACATATTCGTTAACTTTTTTAATAAATTTATTTATATTTTTTTATTTTTTTTTTTGCAGTTACATTCACATATTCGCGTAATTGAATACCTTCAAAACGTTCATGCGACTACGCCAAAGAGCAAAAGTATACTTTTAACAAAAATATGTCTGATACCTCATCCTTCGAAATGAGTTCTGTCGATCGCCCAGTAAATCGCTTTCAAGTGAATCCTGTTAACCACAAAGCGAATGAGATGATACAACTTAATGTGCCACAAGAGGTCTATCGGCGTTTGGTAAATAGCGATGGAGAAGCATTGGAAGACGACACTTTCAATGAAAACGCTACCGATATCTTAAACAAACAAAATTTGCAGCGAACACATAGGTAAGATTTTAGTTACTATTACATATGTGTGTAAACAAGGAGGTGGCGGAATGAAACAATTAAAATGTGTAAGAATTTTCCAACAGGGTCGGGAATGCAGGATCATGATCGCGTTAGGTATAATTTATTTCAATTAAACTTAACATTCAAAATATTTTCTAACTAAAACCTTCTTAAACGTCTATTAAATATCTCCATAATTCCCTTAATTCAAGTTAAATTTAATTTGTCAAGCCAGTGGCAATCCTCCCTCATTTAATTAAGAAATACAACTTTTTCAAAACTATTTCGAAAGATACCCATACTGTAATAATTTATTTAACTTATTGAATAATTTGGTGGCAACCCTCTTCAAATACATACCTAAAAAATATCTAAAAGTTTAAACGAATTTAACTTTTTCGACAGATAGCAACCCTTCACATTTTGTTTAGAAATTACGCCTTTCCAAAACCATTTCGATTGGTACGCATATTATAATGATTCATTTAACTTATCAAATAATTTAAGTTTAAGTTTTTAAACAGCTGGCAACCCTATTCAAAATATTTTCAAACTATATAAAAACTTCTTAAACATCTTTCGTTATTTACCACAATACTTCCACAGGTATGCAATGTGAAAAATTCACTTTGTATAGGACGTGTCACGTCCCCTTCTCTAAGACTGGGTTCACACAGAGAACCTTTTGTTGCTCATTTTCGGCAACTTCTCTTTTGGTGTTGCCCTTCGCGTTCACACAGAGCAATTCTTTTGTACACAATTGTTGTTGTCAGCTGTGAACGACCAACTAGAATTACTCAGACGAACGAGTGCACAAAGCGCGTTCGCGAGCACGAGTAACTCGGTGCCCTTCCAACTTCCTCGTCACTCGCTCTCAATTATGTGATACAAGCAAGGTGGGTTCAACGGCACGATGCGAATGATCCTCGAAAGTGATGAAAATCACAATTTGGGTGAGGAAAAAAATCGGTAAGAAAAGCTAGAACAACTTACTATACCTTTCCTTCGTTGTATTTTGTCCACGAAGATTTTGATACTCGGTTTTTTTGAAAAGTTTTTGAAGCTCTATTGAGTTTGTTGCCTCTAGACGAATTATGCCCTCTGAAAATGAAGGGTAATACGCAGTCGGCGTCGTCCAAGCCGCTTCCTAATGACGAATACCTTACTTAGATTATCTAGCTTGGGTTAAATCATAATGCGTTTCCAAAAATCTACCCCTCAGCGTTGTAAATGAGTCATATTAAATTGCCTTCCCCCATAGCTACTGCTATTGAGGAGTCGACAAAAGCAATATCGTTAACTCAGTTCGAAGCAGACTTCATCATGTCTTCCCCCCCAAAAATACATTTTTAAATTCATACTTTACATATTTCCTCAACTAGGCATTCTATAAAGAGCAGCTTTCGTGATAAAGACAAACCCTCAAGGTTCAAAGATTCTCAATCGCAAACAACACGATTTCAAGTAGCTCCCCCGAATGAGGAAGACTCGGACGACTCCAGTGGCACTAAGGAAGACCGCGAACTATTAGACAATGAGTATGACACGAAGTATGGAAAAAGTTTTCG